GAATAGCTGGAATTTGTTTTACCGTCCAATAAGCGAACATGAAAACAATTTTTTTTAATCATTTCACCCCAAGTAAGGCGAGAATGTCATTAGTACGCAGGAATGTTAAAGAGAGTAAAAGTTAGAGAAATGGGGTTGAGGAAAGGAACAAAAGATGAACGGGATTCAAGAAGACAGAAGATGGCATTTGAATGTTTGAAAAATTTAATTTTCAGGGAAGCAAGCAAACAGAAGTTAAGTTTGGTTTGGTTTGTTTTACGGTATATCAACCTCAAGGGGTCATTTAATGCCGATAACTTTTTTTCCTGCTAATATTTTCGTTTTGACAAAAATCTATTTCTGTTAATATTTTTTCCTCAAAAATGTATAGCTGGTAATATTATTTTTCCAAAACGTATAACTGATAATATTATTTGTTCAAAAACGTATAGCTGGTATAATTATTTTTTTTTACAAACGTATAGCTGATAATATTATTTTTTCAAAAACGTATACCTGGTAAACTTATTTTTTTCAAAAACGCATAGCTGGTAATATATTTTTTTCAAAAACGTATAGCTGGTAAAATTATTTTTTTCAAAAAACGTATAGCCGGCAACACTATTCTTTTTAAAAAACGTATAGCTGGTAATATTATTTTTTCAAAATCGTACAGTTTGTAACATTATTTTTCAAAAACGTATTATCAGAGGCCTCGCTGTTGGACGTAGTTTACCTCCATACCCAGGACGCGGATGTAGTTTAACTTCATACCTAGGACGAGTCGAGATCTGGATTTGGGGGTTTACTATTTGCCCATAACTGGGACCCTAACAAGTGCTATCACCCCAGGTAAGGGTGGACCTGGGAGCACCAGTAATTAAGAGGTGGTTCCACGCTCTTCAAAACCTCCTTATCAGACGCCTTGCTGTTGGACGTAGTTTATCGTCTTACTCAGGACGCGGATGTAGTTTATCGTCATACCCAGGACGCGGATGTTGTTTATCGTCATACCCAGGACGCACAGCAGTTTATACATATATTAATATAAACATGATATAATATACATGTGTTATAAATGCATTAAGTGAATCCTATTTTATCGAACACTATAAAGTCTGTCAAACACATTTTTAAAAAATTGATTGCGTTCCAAGCAAAGGAGTAAAGTCACTGAGCCAGAAAGGGTTACTAAGAGTAGAACAGTTAGAAACATAAATATTAATAAGAAGCAACAACAAGAGAAATGTAATCAGGAGGACAGCGAGTGGCATTGCAATTAACATTTTGCAGATTGCAGTTGTCTGGAAAGCATGGAACCGGAAGGGAATTCCTCAGGTGGGAAGCGCGAGAAAAGAAACTGTTGGAAAATCACGCGCAGCAAAACCAAAAAAGGACAGATAACCTTTAAAACCAAATAAGACTTTAAAACCAAATAATTTCAATAATCATTTATTTATTCTAAAAAACGAAGGAAATCCTTTGGCACATCGGAGTAATGAAATCAGGCATCCAGAAACTACAAAAAATTTACTCATGGGAAATATTTTTTCCTTTTTTTTAAGCATTTCGCCCCAAGCAAGGCGTATGTGCCACTAGCACGCAGGGGGTTACAGAGAGTGAGAGCAAGAGTAAAGAAGGTTATTTGAGGAAATGATATAGAAAAAAGACGAAGATCGGGATCAAGGCATCAGAAGTTGAACATTTGAAGGTTATAGCTATCAGGGAAGCAAGTAAGAGGAAGGGCGTATCACTGTCGGGAAGTGTGAATGAAGAAGCTTGGAGTAGAAGAGGCGGTTACGTTTAACTGTTTCGGCAATGAAAATGTGGGACTGAGGTGCCAAACTTGTAGGACGCTTAAATTCATGCAGCTGGGGCCCTAGTGAATATAGCTCGTCAGAGTAGTCTCCATAAAAAATATTTTTAGAAAAGACAGAGAGAAGCCACATTATGTATGTGAGAATGTGTACGTTAGAAAAAAAGAAAATGGTCATGATCTGCTATGTCTTATCTATCCCGTTGTAAAACAGTCAATACTGGATAGTTTCATTACAGATGAAGAATAGACTAAAAGTTAAATAAGGCTGTAAAGAATACCATAGACAGAACACGTGAGCAATAAGGAAGTTCTAAAATGCATGGGAACTAGAAAGTCACTCAGGATTAAAATCATAACGAGACAGTTGAAGTTTCGTTATACATTGTGAGCAAGGACGGTTTAGAAAACGTAATGCTAATAGGCACCTGTTGCGTTCCTTTGAATCAAGGTCAAGCTAGGATGATATCGGTTTAAATATTGCTACCAGGAAGTTGTGGAGAGCTATCGTCGTTGCGAAAGTGAATGTTGCTTGAGCAGTATATCAACCTCTATGGATTATTTAATGTTGAAGTCGAAATATTTTGAAGACAATTTTTATGGCTTCATCTAAATACATGTTGAACGCAATTGTATGCCGTTTTTGTATACAATTGTATTTTATGTAATTCCACGCTCCTTAAAAACCTCCAATCTCTTGATCAGAGGACTTGCTGACGGATGCAGTTTATCGTCATACCCAGGACTAGTGAAAGTGAATGTAAAAAACATTGGGAATTATATTGTATATACTTCTTTTTTTAACGAATGCCTGAAAATTTGACTATTGGATTTTCTCGGGTGTATAGATCCGATATTAATTTGAATCATTGAAACTTTTTCAAAATGTGGGGAATAATGGTTAGTCAAAATGTGAAGTGGTGTTTTTCCTTGAATATACTTACTGTTCAGCTTAAAATTCTTGGATGTGTCAAAATCAAAAGCTCTGAGTGAATGGCAATAATTCCAGTAAATACAATAGGTATCCCTCCTGCAACGAATACAACTCATCGTCGGGTCTTTGCCGACTGTACACGGAAACTAATACGAGTCATATGCAATATTTTCGAGAAATAGGAAAATATTACGAAGCACCAGTGTTTCGAGCGTGCTATCCTAGATGATGAACACGATCAATTTTGAATCATTCGCTGTGTACTCGAAAACTAATGCGCACCCAGAAGCAAGTTGTCCGTTAAACTGCAATATAATACGTGAGTCATGCGTGCTTTATATCAGATAACAAAGACGGTGCCCTGTTGGGTCGTTTGTGATGTACTCAGGATAAACCTAGTCTTGTGACAACTTAACGATGACTCTTTGGGGACCTATCACAAAATGAATTAATACTACATTAAGTATAAACCAAAGCTAAAGCGTCATGCGTAAGGCGATAAAATACATCTGGCAGCAAGATCAGGAGTTTTTGAGGAGCGTGGAACAACCTCATAATTGCTGGTATTGCCAGGGGTGGTAGCATCCGTTAGGGTCCTAGCTATGGGCAAATAGTTAACTCTTAACTATTACCAGCAATCCATTTTAGGATAAAAAAATTAGCAACAATACATTTTTGAAAAAATAAATATTACCAGCAATAAAAACCTTGTCGCCATAAAATAACCCATTCAGGTTGATATACCGTAAAATAAACCATAACCTTGAGGATATCTGTGCATGAATTTCTGTGTATTATAAACCTAATGTCTTCAGCAAACTTTTTTACCAGTGCTCATAATGAAATTTTTGCTGTTATCATTGCATGTTGTATCGGAACAATTACCATGAATGTATTTATAGAAAAGACACAAAGTGGCAACCCTACGGTGGTGTGAAAGTGACTGAAACCGAGCCTCATAATCAGACTCAATAATATTGCTGAATGAATATATATATATATATATATATATATATATATATATATATATATATATATATATATAATAAAAGGCTTAAACACTAATATTCCATGATCATAATTTATTCCATTGGAATCGTAAACACGATCCAATTCATCAGACCTACAAATTCAAAAACGAAATGGAATAAAAACGAAATTGAATAAATTATGACCATGGAATATTAGTGTTTAAGTCTTTTTATTATATTTTTACTCTGTCCTGGACATTGAGTTCTACCTGGATTCTATCCTCTTGGAATTTTTTATTAAAAAAATATACATGTATGTGCATGCATCTATGTATATATATATTTATATATTTTGCATATGTATGTGTATATTTACCACTAATATTATTATTATCTATCTATCTATCTATCTATCTATCTATCTATCTATCTATCTATATATATATATATATATATATATATATACTGTCTGTGTGTATTTGTCTAATGTTACAAATGAAAGGAAAAGTTAGCATAGAATTTACAGTTTACATCTCGCCCGTTTACCTGTAAATAGGCGAGACCTCATCGCCAGTCTAGATTGTTTATGTATTAGGTTGGTGCAAAAATAATGTCGTTTTTTCTTTTGAAATTGAACGTCAAAAAGCATTATTTTTGCACCAACCTAATATTTAGATACAGACTTAAAAAGCAGTGTTGTACTTACATGCAAAAATTGATTAGGCGAAGCTTTTGCCTGATTTAGATTTAACGAAAATGTATTACTCTTTCTATTCATTCCGGAATATGAAGATACAATCTAAATATATTTTTCTTACAGACTTGCAAGTGTAATGAAAGCAAAAAGAAAAAAAAATATTGTTCGCCGTTGTTAGTATAAATCAAAATTATTGAATGAAAATAGAATTTTTAGTAAAAATTCATATTTCAGACTTATTTGTTTTATTTTGAATTTAAATATTAGTAATTAAAAAAAAAAGTCCCTCGTTCTAATTATCCAGTGTAAAAATAGAGCTTCCTTAAAAATAAATGAAAAAAGCCTTTTCTATTTTTTGCAGACATTGCAACATTGGATTTTCAACAAAGGTTTTGTCATGTGGTCGATAGCTACAAGATTTGAAATGTAAAGTAAAATGAAACAATGTTTTAAGTATGCGAAGGATATCTTGGAGCAAATACGTGAGCAACGTCGTGGATTTAGAGAAAATTAAAACAAAAAGGAAACGCTATATTTAACAGCAGGAAAAGGTACTTTCTGGGGTACGTAAAGAAGATTTTATATATTTTCGGCACATATGTCATGTACCAGTTTACGTTTTATTTATTTATTATTAGTTTTTCTCGTTCTTTCTTTCTTTCTTTTTTCTTTCTTTTTTCTTTCTTTTTTTCTTTCATCCATTCTTTCTTTCTCTATTTCTTTCTTTCTTTCTTTTTCTATCTCGCGTTTTCTTTTTGTCAAATTTTGTCTATTTCTCTTGCTCTCTTTCTCTCTCTCATTCATTCTTCCTTTCTCTTTTTGTCTTGCTTTTACTTTCTGTCTCACTTTATTTCTCGCGCTCTTTCTCCCTTTCTCTATTTTTCTTATTCTCTTTCTTTCTTTCTTTCTTTCTTTGTCTTGTTTTTACTTCCTGTCTCACTTTCTCGATTTCTCACGCATTTTCTCTCTCTTTATTGTTCTTCTTCTCTTTCTTTCTTTCTTTCTTTCTTTCTTTCTTTCATTCATTCATTCATTCATTCTTTCTTTCTTTCTGTCTCACTTTCTTGTTCTCTTTTTATTTCTCTTTCTGTCTTGCTTCCTCTCTCTCCCTTCCCCTCTCTTTTTCTCATTTCCTTTCTTTCTTTCTTTCTTTCTTTCTTTCTTTCTTTCTTTCTTTCTTTCTTTCTCACTTTCTTGTTCTCTTTTTTTTATTTCTCTTTCTGTCTTCCTCTCTCTCCCTTCCCCTCTCTTTTTCATTTTCCTTTCTTTCTTTCTTTCTTTCTTTCTTTCTTTCTTTCTTTCTTGTTCTCTTTTTATTTCTCTTTCTGTCTTGCTTCCTCTCTCTCCCTTCCCCTCTCTTTTTCTCATTTCCTTTCTTTCTTTCTTTCTTTCTTTCTTTCTTTCTTTCTTTCTTGTTCTCTTTTTATTTCTCTTTCTGTCTTGCTTCCTCTCTCTCTCTCCTCCCTTTTTTCTCATTTCCTTTCTTTCTTTCTTTTCTTTCTTTTTCTTTCTTTCTTTCTTTCTTTCTTTCTGTCTCACTTTCTTGTTCTCTTTTTATTTCTCTTTCTGTCTTGCTTCCTCTCTCTCCCTTCCCCTCTCTTTTTCTCATTTCCTTTCTTCCTTTCTTTCTTTCTTTCTTTCTTTCTTTCTTTCTTTCTTTCTTTCTGTGTCTTGTTTTTACTTCCTGTCTCACTTCCTCTATTTCTCACGCATTTTCTCTCTCTTTTTTTTTCTTATTCTCTTTCTTTCTTTCTTTCTTTCTTTCTTGTTCTCTTTTTATTTCTCTTTCTGTCTTGCTTCCTCTCTCTCCCTTCCCCTCTCTCTTTTTCCCATTCCCTTTCTTTCTTTCTTTCTTTCTTTCTTTCTTTCTTTCTTTCCATGTGCCGTAAGTTATTTTCTTCAGAACGTGATCTCTCATGACACTCCACAACACCCCCCTCCTTTGTCGCACTTATTAAAATTGGTCTTTATTGATGCATATCCTAATCCCTATTATGACATCGATTTACACATGCTCGTTAGGCAGGGGTTATGTATTGCTTTCCTCTGTCCCACGTGTCTTCATCATATCCTGTGAGTATCAAATTCTCTAAGCCCTCTTTCCTCATTATGTGCCTTAGAAATGTCAACTGTCTCTTTCTGATCCTAAGTATAAATGTCCTGTTTTATTCCATTTTTGTCTAAATCTTCGTCATTGTTCACATGTACCGTCCATGATATTCTCTGGATCAGTCTGTAGAAACAGATTTCTGAAGACACTCGTCCCTTCCTCGTCTGTGAGAAGATTGTCCAGCATTCACTGATATTACATAAGAGTTCACTGCTCCCTTCGTTGTTTCTACCGAAACTTATCGAGATTTTCCGGCTTCTTAATACTTTGCTTAGAGTTTGGAAGGTACCTTTCGCTATGCGAGTGCGTGTTCGGATTTCGGTGTATAAGACACACTTTTTACGTTTAAGTTTAAAATCCAAATCTGCTTCGGCCTATACACCAAAGGCTGAAACTTCTTGAAGAGTTGGTTAAACAATTACCAAAAAAAGTTAATCTACAAAATTTTAGAGTTTAGCGGAGGATGAAGTTGAATATAATATTAATCAACTAAGTGACAAATTACACTTATTTGTATTAAGACCCTCTCTCTCTCTTTCTCTCTCTCTCTATATATATATATATATATATATATATATATATATATATATATGTGTGTGTGTGTTTTGTGTGAGAGTGTGTGTGTTTATGTCTGCGTGTGTATGTATGTGATATGCAAAGCCATTATATATATATATATTTACAATATGAAAGGTTTAGTTCACTTGAATGTTACTCATAACAATAGTATGGATTTCAAATTTGAAATGCACATCATCAATCAGTTAACTCGGATACTGTCTTCAAAACAAGGATGTGTCTTATACAAAGGTGCGTCTTATATATTGAAAAAATACAGTATCTAGCAGTTGACGTACTTTATCAAACATTTCGGGAAATGTTTTTTAATTACTTTAAATCTAGACGCTCTAAATTTATTTATTATTTAAATTTTCTAAGCGTAGCTTAGATGAGGCACAAGGTTGAAATTATGGCGCACCCAGTGAGGATCGAACTCGCAGTTCAGTCGTGATTCATCTAGCGAGACAATCTTGTTAACAATTATAGGATATCGAAGTGCATCCAACAATATTTATTATGCTTACCTTAGGCGGTCGCAATATTACAGATCCGAGCCAACCTGGGAAGATCGGGTTACTTAACCCCATAAATGGCGGGACGTTTTGCAAGTGCAAGCACACCGAAAAGTGTCAAAAACCGAGAAAGTTCATTTTTTAAAAAGTAGTTTAATGCTTATTTTCACTTATTTATATTAAAAAATGTCAAAATGTTATTTGAAGTAATTAAGATCATCATCATCTTCATCATCATTCCCTGATCTGATTTAGTCGTAGGGTCACTGCGCAATCGACAACCCGATCAGTTTCCCACCACGTATGTGGGTTAACACCTGGAGAGGTATCACCAATGCAGCGTGTTGTAGGCAAGAAAACCTGGCGGAGCATTGTCCTCTCCCAGTCAATCCACCGCCGATATTCCTCGACGAAGTCTCGCTTTGTTCAGGGACACGTAACCGTTGATTCCATCGGGTAACCCATCCGCCCCGGCGAGGTTACTGATTTAGTATATTAATTACTCTGCCCAGCAATACCAGGTTATAAAAAAGAGAACAATACAAACGTTTTTGTCTGAATTTCTAGGATGAGGAGTTATTATTTACACTATTTAAACACGGACTATTGTCCTCATCGTTGTTGTTTTTGTTGTTATTTCAACATTTCGGTCGATTTGCTCCCCGACCATCATCGGGTGTTTTTTCTATCCAGGCAACCTACAGAGAATCCATATTTGGTTTGGTTTATTTTCTTTTACGGCATATCAACATCAATGGGTTATTTAATGCCGACAACATTTTTAGAATACATTCGTATGAATAGAATATGTATTCTTTGGTTTAGATTAGTTTGGTTTATTTTGTTTTATGGCATATCAACCTCTATGGGTTATGTAATGCTGACAAAACTTTTTATTGCTGGTAATATTTTGTTTTACCAAAAATCTTTCAAAAAAGTATTGCTGGTAATAGTTAACTATTTGCACATAGCTGGGACCCTAACAGGTGCTACCATCCAGGGTCAGGGTGAACCTGAGAACACCAGCAATTAACAGGTGGCTTCACGCTCCTCATAACCTCCTGATCAGAGGCCTTGCTGCTGGATGTAGTTTAACGTCTTACCCAGGACGCGGATATAGTTTAACGTCTTACCCAGGAGGTAGAGAATTCAGAACTGAACCTTTTATTTATTCTTGGGTGCGTTTGTGTGTGTGTGTGTGTGAGGGGGTAAATTGTTCTTGTTCCACGTCTAGACTTATTCTCTGCACTTCTGCTGCTTGTCACAACTGACTGCACTCATTTGATAGAGCTCCTGCTGTTGAAAACTTGCCCTCATATGTCATTCTTTCTTTATTAACGACTCCCATATGGTATTTATTTATATGCTAGGCCTACTAAGGAAATCCTCATTGCCTAGCACATCTCCAATAAAAGACATCACTTGATTATCTCCGTCCGTTATAGATTAACATAAGAAATTCGTTACTGTAGGCAACCTAAAAAAAATAAATAAGCTAAATTGGTCTGATAGATCAAACTATATAACCGAATTTAGTTTATGAAACACACCTGAGGGACCCCGGGGTTTTCGAAATTGAGTTTAGGTTAATCTTATACAAGGCCACATTTTCATAATACCCATTGAAGATAAAAAATCATTATGCATGCAAATGGATTATCATATGAAACTTGCTCGTGTTATATGGACACAAATTAACTGGGGAAGACTCAGAAATTCGTCCACTTTTCATATAATTAATTATTTAGTTTTCTTTTAATTAAAATTACATCAATTAAAATTTCATTAATTAAAATTCCATTAAGTCGAAACTATGGTTAGAATTTAAAATTCCATTATTTATATTTATTATTTATTTATTTACTATTAATTTTATTTTATTTATATTATTATATTATATTATTTTATATACTATATTATATTATATTATTTCTATATTATTTTTATATTTTATATATATTTTATATTTTTATATTATTTATTTATTTATTCATTATTTATTTATTAATTATTATTATCTTTTATTACATTTATTAATTATAATTATGGTTAGAATTTAAAATTCTATTAATTAAAATTCCATTAATTAAATTCCATTAATTATATTTATTAATTATTTATTATTTATTTATTTATTATTATTTTTATATTATTTATATTGTTTATATTATTATATATTATTTTCTATATTATATTGTATCATAATATTTTTTTATATTATTTTATATTTTATATTTTTACATTATTTATTTATTTATTATCTATTTATTAATTATTATTATTATTATTATTATTATTATTATTTATTTATTTATTACATTTATTAATTATAATTATGGCTTGAATTTTAAATTCCATTAATTAAAATTCAATTAAGTCGAAATTATGTTTAGAATTTTTACTATGAGCAACTAATGTGTTGAGCATGTTGTCTTGTAAAAGATCACTTTTATGTCTTTTAGTCACTTATTTAAATATCTAGTAGAATGATGTTCTGGTTTATACACTATGCCACTTTTCTTCAGATCACGTTATATGTCAGACATCAGTTGAATTTTTTATGATTATTTCAGTGTGCTTTTATAGAATTGCCTAAAGTGATTTCTAATGTTAGAAACATAATGATAAATTTATAGCAAATCGATTCAGAAATTTAGTCATGAAAATGTTTATGACACAGTTTTTTTTTTTAATATCATATATCGTCTTTTAAAATGCCGAAAAAAGATATATTTAATTCCAACATTTGGTAGCTTACGGAGAATATTTTAAAAGGAAGTGCATGCTTTTTTTTTTTAAAGCAGGTCTCAATCCAGTATTTTATGTTAACATTAAATGAACTTTATTTTTTTCTTTCCAGAAAACCACTTTTTTTTTCAGTATAATTTGAGTAAGCAGCCTTTTGAGCGAGAAATAATGAGTAAAAAACAAAAAAAGAAAGAATGTAACCTGCAAACTGTTGTTCGCGGTGTCGCTGTCAAAAGTAATAAAAATGCTTGGCTAATCTAATTTGGGCGAAAATCTTAGCCAAATGGATAACATTATGGTGGAATGGACGCCGTTTTTCCATCCTTGTTTTATCTTATCAAAGTTGGTGCGTTTTTTTTTTTTTGTGATTCACGATTATATTCGGTTGTATATTTTCTGGTGTTTAATCTGACCCGAGGGCTGCAGTGCATTAGGATGAAATAAAATATTTTCTTCAGATTGCTAAAGACCCTATTTGTAAAGTGTAGTCAAATGTCATGATATCATGGCTCAGTTACCAACAGTTCAGTAGGAGTTGGTCAGTTTGATCGTCATGCCTCTGGTGGTTCCAAGCCAGATCATTTATGGCATTTTCAGTGCAAATTTGCGGCAGTATATTTCGCTTTCAAAGACGACATCCAAAGAAGATTCGTGTAGAGTAATTGGCCATGGTTCAATGCAGTTGGCAGAAAACCCCAACAAACAGATTTGACAAAGTCTCCAATAAACAATGGGAAATGAAAGAAAAGAACAGGGAAAAAATAATATTAAACAAACGATATACACAAGGCAAAATTAGTAATCAGTCAAATAGTTCACAATGTAAGAATGTTGTTAGCACACTAAAGGGATACAGTCAAGTGATTTTGGCGTTCTGACGTGAAGGCAAGTAAGAACAAAAATATGTATGATGAGACCGTGAAATAGTCTATCTTACTGGTGAGTATGCATCTC